ATTTCAAATAGCTCTTTTATTTTTGGCAGCTGGCCAGTAGGGGGATCCAAATCCTTGACCTTGGTGTTTCAACACCATCCTCTAAACAATGAGCTAACTGGCCAGCCTATTCTTAATTCTTTAAAAGATTAAAAAGCAGGGAGATGCTCAGAGTTGACAGGAACTTCCTTGCCATAGTCAGTTGAGTCACAGCCTGGGAGAAAAATGTTCTCCCCCAGGGTTGGTATTCTAAGATCACTATCAGGCCAGGCCACTTCAGGAATCAGTGCTTCAAAAAGTCACAAATAAAAATGCACGCATTTATGTGATGCCTCCTGAGAACTCAAGAAACTGTACAAACACATTTAAAGCATTAAGTGCTTCTTGAAGCACTTTCCTTAGAAGCAGTTTTTCCAGAGAGGAGAGTGTACTTAGGTAAAACCAATGGCAGGTCCTATGTCATGATTTCAACATGGCTCAGCTGAGTGCCAGAGTTGGCTCCCCACCGGATGCAACTTTCGTGGAAATACCAGGAAAGGTAAGTTGACTCCCAAGTGAATTCAAGCTTATTGGAATATTACATGAGCCTACAGAACCTTTTGATGATGTTGTAGTTTCAGTATTGGTGGTCTGTAGGGTTCAGCTGTTTTTTCTTTGCTCAGCATCCATTCTTCCTACTTCTGGCAACCAAACTTCAATTTTCCTTAGGAAGTCATTCCTTCCACACGTTCAATTGTGGGATTTGGGAGAGGCTATGTTTACCCCCAGCTCCGGAAGAGACATGGGACCGGCCAGTGTGTCACATCCCCTAGTCACGGCCACACATTCAGAGAAAAGCAAGTTACCCAAGCTAATCCAAACACTAAGACTCCATTCTGGAGACTTTCTTAGTACTACTGGGAAAAAGAAAGCCTTTTGTCTGCCGAGATTTTTCACTGTGAGAATATAATTCTGACACTCTCAGAGGTACTACCTAAGAATGAAGTCATGCAGAGAAGAGAGCTGAGAGAGAGAGCAAGAGAGGAGATTCCTGGTGATAGTGTTTGAGTACCTGGATCCAGCTATACCTGAAGCTCAGATTCACCCCTGAATTTTTGGTTTCATGAACTCATACATTACCTCTCCCTCTTTCTTAAACTGATCTGAATAGTGCTTCAGCACTTGCAATGGAGAGATTCCTCACTAGCAAATTGGAATTTGAAAATGTAGATTAGAGGGCCAGCCCATGGCTCACTTGGGAGTGTGTGGTGCTGAGAACACCAAGTCAAGGGTTAGGATCCCCTAACCCTTACCCATCTTTTATAAAAAAAAAAAAAAAAAAAAAAAAAAAAAATTGTAGATTAGAAAAAGAGACACAGAACTGTGAGGCTCATTGCTCACTTGAAAACCAAAACCTTGAACCTTGGCCAGAGGCAAACTGGGGTTTCGAACCCTTGACCTTGGTGTTACAAGGCTTGTGCTCTAACCAACTAAGCTAACCAGCCAGCCCATCTTCCTTTGTCTGCTTGGGGGTGGGGTGGGGTGGGGGAATTGAAATAAGCCAGAGGCCAAGTTCTGGTGGACTTCTTCACTGCTTTTAAACTCTTTGTACTTGACTGAGGGGAATTCTGCTAGCATTTGCCATTGAGTCTGTGGGTTCCAAAAAGATGTTCAATTTGTGCAACATCTAGAGACATAGGGTTACTGAGGGCCTCTGCATGCCAGCCTTCAACTTCCATACACACACCAGCAAGTGGGCAGGCTTTCTCTTTTCTAGGAGGGGTTGCTTCTAGTCCTGGGTCAGCCCTTGTTTACTCTTCGGGGCTGCATCTTTGTGTGCCACCTATGCTCATTTTCCCTTCTGACACAGCCTAAATACTGCTGCCAAATGATTCTTCCCAAAACACTGCATCTCATTCCCATTTCCCACCTCAAGGAACTTAAATGGTTCCCTATAGTTTTCAAACTGAATCTGTCTTCTTCTGCTCAGCCACTAATAAAACTAATACTAATACTAAAAGTTAACAGTTTGAAGCACTTACTATGTGCCAGGCACCATGCATAGGTTCCATAGGTTTCTCAGTTAATCCTCAAAATGACACTATAAAGCAGAAATCAAGCTTATGCCTATTTTTTTAGATAAGTAAACTGATGTACAGAGGTTAAGTAACTCGCTCAAGGTCACATGGCCAGTAAGGGATGGAGTCTGAATGCAACACTGTCACTCTGGATCTAGACCTCATGCTCCTACCAAATGATTCTGCTGTCTCAAAAGCTCTCCCACAATCTGCTCTGTCTCTACTTTATTTCCCACAACTCTCCAATTTCTATAGTCTATAGGCTGGTCTTATATCTATGCCCACCCTTCTCTAATTTTATTGTCTTTGCTTATTTGTTTAATCATTCAATCATTCCATTTATTCAAAGCATCGACAAGGCTAATCTTACATTCTGCCAAATAATCTCATTGTTATCTTTGCTTGTCCATTATTCATCCATCCAGCAAATATTTACTGAGTCCCTGCCCCAAGTGCTCAGGTTGTTCCCTGACCCAGAATACTCCTCTTACCACTTCCCCAAATCCTGCCTATTTTTCAAGGCTCCAGACCCTTCCTTGCATGCATCCCACCCTAGCCAAGGTAAGAGGCATGGCCCCCTTTTCCATGAGACTGAGGGCACAGAAGGGCATGACATAGTTTAGCATTCAATTTCACAGAGGCCTGACAAGGTCTCATACTGTTTTTCCCATTAGGAGTCAGATGCCTGGAGGACGAAGCCAGGGTGCATGCTCCTTTCGTATCCATTATGGTGTTGAGTGCATATTAGGTATCCAAAAAACATTCTTTCGTCCAATTGTTGAGTGAACAAATGGGGTCCAATGAAAATATAATGGTTTTTTAAATGGTCCTTTTAAAAACATTATGAATCTGGGTTTTCTTTGCCCTGGAATTCATCTAAAGTTTATGACAGTCTTGCGAGGTAGGTATTATTCCCCTTTTACAGATAAAGCTGAGGCTCAAAGAAGGCAGTTAACTTGCCCAAGTTCACAAAATGGATAAATCTCAGAGCACAGGCTCCCAACCACTGCACCATGCTGCCTCCACAATCCTTGGATGACTCTCCTGGATGAACAAATGTTGAAAATCCATTGCAAATCCTGTGGCTAATGGACTTTCACAGAAAAATATGCTCTGCCGGGGCCTTGAACCCAAACATTTTATTTCCAGGACTAGAAATCCATGGCCGTTGTGAAGAAACTTCATGAAACTCGGGAACTTCTACATCTGGCCTGCTGCTTAGTCCTGAGGCCTGAGGTCAAATCCTGGAAAAGAGCCATGTGGGACACACTGCCTGACCATATCTCTGGTTCTCGGGTGCTACCAGCAACATTCCCTGAGTTTTCACCCATGTGATAGCACTCCCACCTCAGCAATAGAGGATGAGGGGTGGTGAAGAGTGTTCTGTTTCTCTTTTGATGGTTACGCCCTTTCCCTACTAATTCAGTTAAAGGAGTGGCCAGGGACCTTACTGAAAACATTTCCTAGCATCTTTTCTCCCCCAACACAGCCCACATATCTCCTAGCTGCCATGAGAAGCTTCCCTCCCTTCCAAGGCAATTACCACTGCCTTTCACCCCATCCTCACCGTGTCTTCTGCAGATGAGGTACAGAGGCATATACCAACGTCCTTACTGTCTTGATGAATATTGTCAGAGTGAAGCTATGGATGTGCCTGTTTCTGCTTTTCCGTCTGCATCAGTGTTTTGCAAAGGGTGGGTCTTGCCACCTGATGGTCCAAAGATAATTTTGGGGTGTTCATGGATGACCTTCACCATTGCTGCTTTTCTCTGCCAACCTCTGAAGGACACCACCTACTGCTCCGTCCTGAGGAGATGTCAGCTGCACCAGGTTCTCCCCACCTGTTTCTTCCTTCCCCTCAGTCCTCACTTTTGTAGCCTCTCAACCTCGCTTCCTTGAATGGTTTTAGCATCCCTTCCTATGTGCCAGGCACCATGCATAGGTTTCATACGTTTCTCAGTTATGACACTATAAAGCAAATATCAAGTTATCCCTATATTTTTAGATGAGGAAACTAATACACAGAGAGGTTAAGTAACTCGCTCCAAGTTGCTCAAGGATGGTTTTAGCATCCCCTCCTGGGTCTCTCATTACCTTGCCCTCCCTTTCAGTAAACCCTTCCCAAACCACTGCCTACTTCTCCCTTCTTGCCAATCCTCCTTCCTTCTTTTAAAAAATGAGTGTATGAAAGTAAAAAAGGGCCACTTAAATAAAATGGGTAAGTAAATAATAAACAGTACAAGTTGTACTTGGATATGAGACAAACTACCCATACACTTTTGATCTTTGAGGACCATGTCTCAATCAGCTTGGCGCTGCCCGATGCCAAAAGGTGCTCACTAGAAGTTGATTATAAAATAACCTCTTGGTCTAAAATCCCATACTCTAAGAGGAAAGAACAACATGTATGAAACTTACATAGCGGTGCAAAGAGTAGCAGAGTAAAACTGAAATGAAACTCAGAAGCAAAGGGATGGGGTATTGAATTTTCATTTTGAAGCTTATAGCCTATGTGGGGAGACCGGAGAGTCACAAAGGTGGAGGCATACCATTATAGCAAGCAAGGGGAGGAATTCGTAGAGAAAAATCAATTTCTAAAACGAAAAATAAAAATGCGTTGCAAGTAGTACTTGCAAGCTTTTTCTGGGCTTTGCTGTGGGAGCGTTTCAAGATTTGTCTTCCTATTGCAACAGCAGAAGGAGACCTTCAGGACAGGTGGTCTCGGCCTGGCCTCGGGCCCCTCCCCTTCCTCTTCGTGACGTGAATNAATTTCTAAAACGAAAAATAAAAATGCGTTGCAAGTAGTACTTGCAAGCTTTTTCTGGGCTTTGCTGTGGGAGCGTTTCAAGATTTGTCTTCCTATTGCAACAGCAGAAGGAGACCTTCAGGACAGGTGGTCTCGGCCTGGCCTCGGGCCCCTCCCCTTCCTCTTCGTGACGTGAATGAAGTGTTACTACATTCTCGAGCACTGGCTGCACTACTTGCTGCGAGGTTTATGGGGCTAAAGTGGCAGAGAGCAATCCAGCTATCAGTCTCAGCTCCAGTGTTCTCAAGTATAGATCGGGGAGTAAGTCCCGAACCTCTTTGGGTCTCGACCGACAAGACATGAGGAGGTAGCCGCCCACAGCCAACTCTACGTGTCACGCACCGAGCAGGGTTCCGCAGGGACACTGGCCCTGCCCCCAGACGCCCGCATTAGCGGCGAAAGCGTTATCAGTTGGAGCCCACGAGAACCGATACAACCTGACGTGAGTGCTTGTTGGAGTCTCAGGTACCCGTCGCAGCTCCGAGGCGAGTGCAGGGAAACCAGCGGCCGATTTGGCGTCCCGGCGGCGCCGACCGCAGCTGAGAGCTCCAGGCGGCGCCACCAGGC